ATGCTGGGTGTAGAGATTACCGAAAAATAAATCTTAAAAAAAAAAATGACATTTCAGAAATAAATCTGGAATCAGAATACAGAATAAATTTCAAGGATAGAAAAATTTGAGATAAGAATCATTTTAAATGTTATCAAATTATGCCTGGATTATTGTAATAAAGGCATAAATGAGGTGAATGGGAACAATAAGAGGGATTTGTGAGACACTGAAGACAGGATTTAACTTATGAGTTGGGACTAGATGAGCTTTATCCTCTCCTAAAAAATAATTACATCTAGCATATACCTCAATCATTTGACTTCAAACCTCACAATTTTCATTGCCCTTCATTCCCTAAGAGCTCTCCTTCCCAGGCAGTTGGTGTCCCCCCAATCCCCAAACTGGATTCTCCACCAACATAATATAGCCCAGACAAAACAAAGGATTCTCTTTACCAGCTCCCTAGACACACCAAGAAACCCTCAATCCTGTAACTTTGTTCATGCAATTTCTTCTACCTTTAATATCTCTTCTCCTTGTACATATTCAAAGTCTAGCCATTCTTCATACCCCAGTTCAAACGCCACTTTTTCCCAGTGCCAGTTTTCCCAGAAGCCTCAACTTGAAATAAGATTACTTCTGAATACTCTCCACTTTTCTCTAAAACATTTTAACCATATAATTATTCCTTATCTCCTCTGATAAACTATATACTTCCTATAGCACACATAACCCAATTTATTTTATTACTCCCTCCTTTCATAGGTACTTGAAGATCTTGATAAATAACATATGGTAACATGTAGTATAATGGCTAGGAGCACAGACTGTGAGGACAGGCTGAGTTTGATTCTAACATTTGCTATGTGATGATGGGTAAGTTACTCTTTTGTGCTTCAATATCTTTACGTATAAAACGGAGATAATAATGGTAGATATTTTATAAGGTCATCAGAGGAGTTGGCTTAAAACAGTGTAAGCCCCATAAAACTGTCTATTAAATGCAGTGGGCAAATACTGAACATTCTGTGGTATAAAGTTTTATTTATTTACGGAAAGCAAAATGTCAAAAGTAAAGCTGGTCTCTAGATACAAATTCTTCCTAAATCCTCCCATGTTTGCCCTAAGGGTTAGCTGTGGCCTTTAAAATCTTCCTTAACAATAGTTCTGCTTTAGTTTGACACTTCAATACTGCAAGAAAATATTTAGTTCAGCTTCCACCTAATTGATCTCCTTGCTTCCAGTCTTATCCTCTTTAATCCATCCTCCACAAAGTTCAGAGTAGTCTTTCTAAAATGCAGATCTAATGTTTTTCCTCTGCTACAAACCCTCTCCATTCCATCCTCCTTAGGATAAAGTTCAGCTCCTTAGCATTTCATACAAAATCGTCTTAATATGGCCCCAGCCTAATCTCCAGCTTCATCTCTCAACACTTCTTACCATGAAATCTAATCACCTGGCACACCTCAAAGGCTTTTTGTATGTCATTCCTTTTGCTAGAACATCCCTGCAGTAGTTTGCTAGGACTGCCATAACAAAATACCATAGACCGGGTAGCTTAAATGAGAGAAATTTATTTCCTCACAGTTCTGGAGGCTAGAAGTCGTATATCAAAGTATTGGCAGGTTGCTTTCTCCTGACACTTGCAGATCCCTGCCTTGTGAATGTGTTCTCATATAATTTTTTTTCCTCTGTGCACACATCCTTGGTGTCTCTTTTTGTTTCCAAAGTTCTTCTTCTTATAGACACCAGTCAGAATGAAATACGACCCACCCTAAAGGCTCCATTTAACTCAATCACCTCCTTAAAGGCCCTATCTCCAAATACAGTCACATTCTGAGGTTTTGGAGGTTAAGACTTTAACATATAAATTTTGGTGGGGCACCATTCAGCCCACAACAACCCCTTCTCCTTTTCTTTGTCCAGGCTTATTCCCATTTGTTTTTCCAACACGGGCCCAAGCCTTCCCACCCCAGGTAGATTTCACTCCCTTCCTCTCTGTTCCTATAGGACCTCTGCATGTTGCCTTCTGTATACTGCTATCCTATTAATACACTATCACAATTTTGTCTTTCCCTCTTCAGACTGTGTTTATTAAGAGCAGGGGCTAAATCCCTAGCACAGTGTCTGGCCCATTGAAGATATTTAATAAAGATTAGATTATTGAGGGAAAGTAGAAGAAAGAATAAGGACTTTGAAGAAAGGCAAGAGTGGGTTCAAATCTCAACTGAACCATTTATTCTTATATCTTTGGGCAAGTCACTAAATGCTGAACTTACATTCTATCTAAGGTAGTTGTACAGATAAATGATCTAATTATAATAAAAACACCCAGTTGTGGGGTTGGTTCACGGAAGGTGCTCAGTAAATGTTAAAGATTTCTGAGCATGCCTGGTTTGATATCCAGTTCTATCACTTAGTAGATGAATGACCTTGGGTATGTTAACTTATCCTCTGCTTCAATTGCCTATCTACAAGAACACCGCATAATGCTATTGTGAGGATAATAGAGGTAAAATGTTGACCGATATCTAACACACAGTATTATAAAAATGTTTCCTATTATTACATGAGCACTGCAGATCTGAAAAAACATGACTGGAAACCATGAATAATTTAGTCCCTTCATTCACTAAGTCATTTTAAATGTATTATTTTAATGCCTCAGATTTCTTAACTCAAGAGGATGGTAACTAAAGAGGGTAGAAAACTGGTACAGATGATATAAAGAGCTCAAAATAATAAAAAAAAATACATATTACTATCTGTTTCATTTCTTATATTGGTGTTTAACATTTTCGGTATTGATGTGAAATTTTTAGGAAACTAGTTTTTCTATTCTTTGTGGCTACTGATGTTAACGATGATTTTCAGTACAGAATAACGCTCTGGCTCATATTTTCAAATGTAGAATCACTAAACCTTTGAACTGGAAAGAACCTCTGAGATGAAAATCCAGTCCTATCATGCCTTACACAAGTAAACTGCGCTGGATTTGGAATGGGCTTTTAGGGTCTTAATGAACAGCTCTTCGGGGGACAGGAATGGTAAACAGAGAGAACACTTTGTTCAAAACTAGTAAAGCAGGGGTTCAGAACCTATTCTAGATATTCCAGGTATGTAAGGAACCAGTATTAGGAAATAATGCTGGAAAATAGTTTTTGATCATCCAACCTTTAAGGCGAGTAATTTCTGAAGTAGGTACAACTTACCTGACCTGTAACTTTGAAGCAAGGCAGATTCAGGTTTGAATCTTCGCTTGTTACATAAGCAAAATCTTTGAGCCTCAGAGTAGCACAATAAGGTTATTATAGATTAAGTGAGTGAATGTATGTAGAACTTATGACTGGTGTGCCTGGCTGATTGACAGGACAGCTGCCTCAAACACAGGTTTTAACTGCAAGGGTCCACTTATATACAGATTTTTTTTTTTTAATACAGCACAGTAAACATATTTTCTTTTCCTTGTGATTTTTAAAAACATTTTCTTTTTGCTTTTTAATGTTTATATTTGAGAGAGAGAGAGAGAGAGAGGGAGTGCAAGCGCGCAGGCGGAGGAGGGGCAGAGAGAGGGAGACACGGAATCTGAAGCAGGCTCCAGGCTCTGAGCTGTCAGCACAGAACCCAACTCGGGGTCTAACCCACTAACCATGAGAGCATGACTTGAGCCGGATGCTCAACCAACTGGGCAACCCAGGCGCCCCAACGTTTTCTTTTTTCTAGCTTACTTTATTGTAAGAATACAGCATGTAATACATATAACACAAAACATGCTAATCAACTGTTTATGTTATGTTCTGGTCAACAGGCTGTTAGTAATTAGGTTTTCGGGGAGTCAAAAGTTATACCTGGATTTCTGACTGTGCAGGGGATAGGCACTCCTATCCTCCATGTTGTTCAAGGGTCAACTATACTCAAATGTTTGTTCTTTTTTATGGCTCCTTCAACAATGAATAAAAATCCGTAAAAAAAAAAAAAACAACACTGTCTTTCATACATGTGATTGCTGAATGCCTGAGACTTGTTGAACATTAATTTTAAGAACAGAAAGCTGGAAAAACTGCTGAGATGATAAAGTGTCTTTATCCCTGCCCTTTCTCACCACCAAATGTCCTTCACAATTTGTTCTGTTTGTTCTGAGGTGTCACGTCAAGGCTATTAACAGGCTATTTGGAGATCACTGTAACTCAGACTTCCAATTCTATGGTAAAGATTTGAAGGTCAGGACAATTTTTGCTGAAATACCTATTTTTTTAAAAAAACTGGAAGAGTCCATATCATTTTATTCCTATGATCCATTCTAGCTTGGTGAATTTCCAGTGAAAAGTTACTGCTTCCCCCCCCCCCCCCCCCCCCCC